AAATAAAGCTTATGTTTCTGTGTCCAGAAGAGTAACAACTGTGTTCCTTCTGTACAGTTACAAACACTAAGTTTATAAAAACATACTGGATCTATGATGCCAAGTATAATTAGCCAAACCAGGAAAAGATCTTACACTTGAAATTATAATGTATTTGAGTTAGAGACTGTTTTTTAAAAAGCGGTTGGGGGTCTGCTTTCACTCAGATACCATCATTTTCAAATGGTGCTCATTTATTTCCAAGGACATGGGCCACTCTTACTGAAGGAATGTCTTGACCTTAAGGGCAGAAAGAGTTAACCATCAAGCAGAGAGATCTGCTTCTGTCTTGAGTTAATAATATACCTTAACTTTGCATTTCCAGAGTCTACCTCTCCTTTTTCAAAAAACTGCAGAATTTCTATCTCTAGAATTTCATACTTTCTAGTTATAGGCTGGTGTTACGTGTTCATAGACTCTAGGAGCACCAAAAGTCAAATCTGGGCTTTCTGCCTTTCGTCCTCAGACTAGTTACATAATCCCAGTGCCTGAATTTTCTCAAATATAAATGAGCAGTAGAACAGAAAAAAACCTATCTCACATTTCTGATCACCCAGAAAATCCCTGTGAAACATCTAAAACCACCTAGTACACAATAACCACTAACATCACTGCTTTTGCTCCCACCACAAATTCCAACATTTGACCCATAAAATGTATTATTGTTATCAATTTCCGCTGATGGCTCTAAAAATCTGCCACTGAAATGGTGACAAATTTCCCATATTTCCATTAAGAATCTAAAACTGCCATTTTCTGGTATCAGATATATGTGTACTACATATGCTATAAACTCTTGATATCTGCTGTCTCATCACAACAAACTTAGCAAAACCTGCAGCAAGAATCAAATGAGCTAATAAAGGACTTGGAACAGCGCCTAGCACGTAAGTACTATTATTACTGTTTGCTGTAACATTAGTATAGCAATAGTATTGAAAAGTGTTTAGTGTCATTCCTATTAATAATGATAGCCATCATAACTATAATTATTATCAGACCTGTATGTCTGGCCCTTGTTGACCTTGGTACAGACGCAAGACTTTAAATTCATTATTTTGAAGTTTCCGAACCAGAAGTTTGTTACCTCTGCCTGCCACATTCTTCGCCAAATCTTTACATTTATGGCTCCATCAATGAGCTGAGTCAGCCTCAACTCAAATGTCTTTGCAAACTCATTCATTTCCACTCCCCACAACCTCTCCCAATCCCTCTGACTCATTACCCTATTTGATAAATGCTAAAGAAATCTTTCGCTTTTTTACACCTTGTTTTATAGTTCCCCATTAATACATATTTTCCCCTTCATATAGTGCTGCATGCCTGTGCACAGGATGGCAGCAGCTCAAATATTATGACTTTAATGATAGTGAACACTGGTAACTTCTACATACAAGGTACAATTATACATAAACCCCATTTATTATTTTTTTGGTTTGTTTTGGGCCTATGCTCAGGGTTTGCTCCTGGCAATGAAGGAGGGACCATATGGGATGCCAGGGATTGACCAGGATTGACCAGGGTTGCCATGTGCAAGGCAAGCACCCTACCAATTGTACTATCACTGGCCCTGTGCTATCTTTATTATTTATTCATTTGACTTTTTTTTTCAGTTTGGGGGGTCACACTCAGTGGTCTGAGGCTACTCCAGGGATTGAACCTGGGTATTTCACATGCAAAGCCTGTGTGCAGTCTGCTGAGCTAACTCTCCAGGCCAGCACTACTTTAGTTCTTACAACCCAACAAAGACTGGCACTACTTTTACAATGATACTGAAAAATTAATACTTTTAGGCTGCTACTACTCAATGTTAGCATCAGTGTACTCTTATTCCCATTTTAGAGAAGAAAACCATGACTGCCAATTACCTTGTCACAAGGCAAAGTATTAGTAAGTCAAAATGAGGTCCTGAATAAAAAAAGTCTAAAGGTCTATAAAAATGACTCTAAAAATTATCAAAATGAAGCTTAAACATAAAGGAATGAGTGGTGCACTGAATCTCTAAATACATTTTTGTCTATTATTGGTTATTTGTATTTCTACCACTTGCAGGCTTTTTGAAACACAAGCACTTTAGTTTGGTGGTGCGAACAGTAACCGTATGACCAAGTATAAACATTAATATTTGAAAAATCACATTACCTCAATAATATCAATCAATCATGTAACTGTAGGGGGAAAAGGAAAGTAAAAGTCTACTTGACTGAACAGGAATCTTTAAAAAAAAAAAAAACGAGAGGACAACCTACTTTGCTAGCACTCGAGTACTCCATCCAGATATGCTTTAGTTCAAAGTTGAAGATTTGAAGATTAATGGGAGAGGCAGAACTGTGAGGGTGCTGGGGACAAAGAGACAGAGCAGAGCAGGCAGAAGTACTTGAGTACTTGCCTTGCATGAAGCCTACCTGGGTTCGATCTCCAGAGCCCTATCTGAACTTCAAGGCCCCACAGGGAGTGATTCCTGAGCACAGAGCCAGGAGTAAGTTCTGAGCACTGCCGGTATGGCTCCCAAATCAAGAAATAAAACGTGATGGTGCTACTGATATATATGGGAAGCAAGTTACAGAGTCAATTGAGAGTGAGGGAATCTAAGTTTTAACCCAGATCTTGTCAACTACAAGGGCATTTGTAGCAGTCATCTCACACTTGGAGACTTCCTCATTTGACATAGTTTAGAATTTAGAGCAATCTTAATCTGCATGGAAGACTCCTTGCAAACAAAGGTTTGACTGTTGACTCAAGCTCCACTGCCATACAGTCTAGGGACTGTCATACAGCATACATTCAACAAATGTGAGTCTCTTAAGTGAACCGCCTCTGTCCCCAATATTCACTACTTTATTTACCAGACACTGTAACATGAAATACACTCAAAATATCAAAAGGTCGCGATTTCTCCCATCCAAGGGATCACTATGTTTTCAGCCAATTTCAGTCATGCTAAATAAAGGTATACACAATATGCTCCAGAAGCAAACCTCCAAACCAAACATAAAATATTTGCAACAGAATACCGAACTTTAAGAGCCATCCAACTCAGTTTTACATCAATGTCTAGGCCTTCTGTTCACAACAACAACAACAAAAAACCCACAAACCTCTCTCCAGTGCAAAACAATATTCCCAAATAAATTCGAGACCATTAAATAAATCATCTCTTCTTGAGATCAGAATCTCAAGCGGGACTTTTGTCTCTTAACTAGCACAGTGACCCTGAGAATGCATACTGATCACTCCTGAAGTGGATTCAAGAAGTTGAGCTTCTGTCCTGAAATAAGACAAGTTAATTATACTTACGCCCTAAAGTCAGGATTTCGGGGGGTGACAATTTTAGACTCCAGGGGCCCGCAAGTGACGGTAAAGCGGGTAGGGCCCTTTGCCTCCGCGCCGTAGAGCGGGTTCGATTCCCGGCACCCCATCTGGTGTCCCCCCTCCAAGCACTGCCAGCACTGATCCCGGAGTGCAGGGCCAGCAGTAAGCCCCGAGCAGCGCCGGGTGTGGCCCAAAATCCAAACAAGGAATGAGACAGTTCTAGCAGATATTCCCGCGTCCACCCACCCCTTCCTTTCTCCTCCCCCCCAAAAAAAAACAACCCCAACCTGAGTAGCAGTACTCACTGACACTTCCCTTCATCGCGCGCTCTAGGCAAGGTGGGGGGTCCCTTACACCCTCCCGCCCCCCCCCCCTTTGCATCTTCAAATACCACCAACAAACAGAAACCTCCAGAGTGGGAAGTGAGCCTCTGAAAATGACACGGGGTGGGGCTGGGCAAGGGTACCAAACAGACATCCTAACTGCTTCCTCCTCAAACACCGCCGGGGAAAAGTTCCCCCCACCCCAACCCACCTCCCTCTGACGTGCCCACGTCTCCCCCACCGCGAATTCCATAGGTAGCCAGAGCGCCGCTGGCGAGGAAGGAAAGGTCACCGCAATCTTTCGCGCAAGGGCGAGCGGGAACCCGGCCGAGCCTGCGGGCCGCTGCTGCGGGGTCACATCCCGCCGCCTTCGCCTTCGCCGCCGCCGAGGTGGCCCTCCCGCAACCTTCTGGGAGGAGGAAGAGGAGGCGGCTCAGTCTCCTCACCTGAGAGATGGGCGCGCACCGCGGCCCACCCGGAGGGCGGTGGGAGGCGGCCCGGCGAGGGGCCGCGAGCGGGGCCCGAGGCCGGGCGGGCCGGGCGCGCCGACCCCCCCACACACACACACACCCGAGGCGAGGATGGAACGACGGCGGCGGCGGCTATTGTTGTCAGTCAGCGCTGGGGGCCGGGGGCACGAAAGGATGCGCGGCCCGGGGAGCTAAGGCGAGCCGAGCCGGGAGAGGCCGGGAGCGCGGGGGGCGCGGGCGCGGCGGCGGCGGCGGGCCGGGGGCCGCGCGGCGGAGGCCGGCCGAGACCCACAGGCACGCGGCTCCGACGGGGGCGCCCTCCCCGGGCCGGAACGCCGGGCGCAGCCTGCCGCTCCGGGGGCCGCGTAGGGAGCGCGGGGGGCGCCCCGAGGACGCGCGGGAGGCCGCGGCCTAAGCCCGGGCCGGGCTCCCATTCAAGCCGCCTTCCCCTTCCCCCTGCCCCCAGCCCCATGCGGTCCCGGCCCCGAAGCCGCCGCGGACCGCTCGGCGCCCGCCACCCCCACTCCCGCCACCCCTCCCCACCCCGGGGTCTCCGCGCGGCAGGCCGAGCCCCCCCGGGACGCCGGCGAGCCGAGAGGTGAAGAAGGGCAGCGCCCCTTACCTGAGCTCCCCCGGGTTGAATCGCTCACCGTCCCCCCCGTCCCCGCCACGCTCCGCCATTACAGAAGGCCGCGTTCACCCACCCGCCGACTGGGACGACTCGATTGGCCAGGCTGGTCGTCAATCCCGTGCGAGGGAGGCGGGAGTAACAGCGAGCTGTCCGGGGATTGGCCCATGTTTCTATCAATCCTCCATCTCGGGGCGGTACCTACCTTGCTACTGGTCCAGGGGCCCGCCGACTTTGAAAGCGGTTTGGAGACAGCCGGTGGATTGGTCGCTCAGGGGCTTTATGGGAAATGGGACTTGAGTAACGAGGAACCGCCGGCGCCCACTCTAGGTAGGCTAAACTAGGTCCTCCTACTTACTGCCGGGCCTCGGGTAGCCACGTGTCTGTCGGCTTCCTGGAAAGCCAATTGTGGAGCCATGTTGGCCACAAACTGGCTATATTGGCTTAGGCTAAGACTATTTCCACGGCGTGAGCCAATCAAATCACGACCTGGGACGCGTGTAAGCCAATCAGAGTGCCGTAGAAACAAGCAATTTCCCAGCTTCTCCGAGAGAACCGTCTGAAGGCCCCACCCGGTTATATCCCTGTGATTAAGTAGATTATTATTTAACTGCACGATCCCTCCTAAATGGTATTGGTTGGTTGCATACTGATGGGATTATTAGTTGCTTTATTAAGATAAATTGGGTAAAGCAAGATTGAAGTATTTTTTTTTTTTAAAAAAGCGTCTCTCCTTCAAACTCAAAATATTCTTGTCTGATATTAGTGAAGCTGACCCAAAGAAATGAATTAAAAGCCAGAAAACTTGTCTGGGCAGGGATGGTTAAAAATGCTGAGAATGCCCTTTTTATCTTGTCCTAAAGGATAACAGGGTAGGAAACCTTAATCAGAAATCTTTATTTGCAATTACATCAGAGCGTGCCTCAGGGGACCAGCCCATGAGTGAATTTACTGATTACCCTGGTGCCTACCAGTCTGCAAACCACCCTTCCTAAAAAAAAAAATATATCATTTCTTTAAAAAAGAAAAAATAATTAGGGCCATAGAGATGGCACCAAAAACTACATGTATGAGTTGTATGCAAGAGGCTCAGGTCCAAGCCATGTACAGCAGGAAAAGATCCTCGATCGCAGAGATGGGAGTAGCCTCCGAGTACCGTCAAATATTGCCCTATCTAAAAAAAAAAAAAAAAAATTTAGATTCTGACTTTTCAAACGCTCCGTGAAAATAAACGTAATCATAAAGGAGCACGAAATATGAAATCATAAACAAAATATTACTTGTACCAACCATCCCTACCAGCGCTGTTCTAAGTGCTTTAGATTTGTTATCTTTTAGGCGTCATATAAACGCCAAAAAAGGTGCTTACTATGAATAAACCCGTTCTTGAAATCCAGGCCACACCCGGTGGTGCTGTGGGTGGGGGGAGGGAGGGGGGGCTATTTCTGTTCTGTGCTCAGGAGTGACCCCTGGTGGTGCTGGGGAATAGTGCGAGAAAGGTGCAGTTGGGGAAGAGGGATTCTAACCCTGGTCAGCCACATGCAAAGCCAGCACCTTACCTCCTGTGTCTATCTCTAGGCCCCAGAAATACAGTTATTTTGTACTCAATATTGGTAAAACATACTGAAACAGTCTCAGAATCTGTGAATCATTTTTTTGAATCAGAAAAAATAATGAGACTCAGTACACCGTTAAGAGACAAAATGAATTTTTCTTTAATCAAGCTTGGTAACTTTTTTTAATCAGTATTTTAGATATTAGCCATACAGAACAGAAAAGCAAATACTATGCAAATGCTATACTGAGCCTATAGCCACAATTGAATTATAGCCTAACACATCAAAGTGAGATGAAGCGAGGATTAGAGTGTAAAGAATGAAGTCACCATTCAGAAGTGACTCGAGAAGTGATTCCAATGGAAAACTGGATTTTGTTCATTGCTAACATTTTTAAGCACCACTCATGTAGGTTCTTTGCATAGACTATTTTCTTCAACAGTTCTACATGCAGACATATTGTCCCCATTTCACAGCTGGGAAAACAGTCTCAGAGACTCTGATAAGCAAGGTGACATTAACAGAGTTGATATAATTGAAGCCAGCATTCAGGTACAGGTCCTCACACCAAAGTCAGTGGGAAACTACTAAGTCTTCCAACAAGAAAGACAGTATGTGCCATCTCTTCCTGTTTTCAATGCAAATACTTTTAGAAGATTCTCCTCTATTTTCCTCATGAATTCCCGATTGATAGAAAATTGTTCAGTACTGTGACTTTGTTCAGTACTGTTCAGTACAGTTCAGTACAGTTCAGTTCAAAACATGTGGGCATGCAACACTAGCGTTTTGGGCGTGCATTCAGTGACTGACAACCGCCTCCCCAGGCCAGCCAACAGTGATGGATGAACCGAGGGGAGGGAGGAAAGAGGAACAGGGACAAAGGAATGGGGCGACAGGCTGCTTGGTAATCAATGACCATTTACTTTCTTCTTCAACGTAGTTATGTAGAAATTGTGAAGGGTGAAGGTGTATATAGGAGGGGTTGAACATTGTCATAACAATAAACAGATGTAAAGCCCCTTCAGGAGAAGTTCTAGATTAACTCAGGGACAAAATCTCATCTGGGGATTCAGCACTCTAGATTACTAGAAGATCCACTCAAGGGTAGGATCCCATCTAAGGACTTGCTTTCTCTTTTCCTTAGCTAGTAATCGATTTAAACAACCATAATAAATTTACTTCTTACTACTATTTCTGTCATTTTGTATGAACACAGTAAGAGATATATTAAGTTTAAAGTTAGGCTCTTCCTAGGGACATCTCGCTATATATCCCAGACTACAGTCCTTAGACCAGGTTAGTCTTTCCTAACCCCAGCAAGGGTTTTTTTTTTTTTAATTAATTTTTATTAGTGAAATACCATGAAGTACAGTTGTAGACTTACAAATTTTTGTGCTTGGGTTTCGATTATACAATGATCAAATACCCCAGTGCCCATTTCCCACCACCACGGATCCCAGTATCCCTCCCACCCCCATCCCCCCCCCATCCCACCCTGCCTCTTTGGCAGGGCATTCCCTTTTGTTCTCTCTCTCCTTTTGGGTGTTGTGGTCTGCAAAAGAGGCATTGAGTGGCAATCATGTTCGGTCCATAGTCTACTTTCAACATGCATTTCCCATCCTGGGAGGATCCTCCAAACACAGCAGGGTCCTTATTCAGTTACTTCTTTTTGGGTCATGACAGAGTTTGTTCCATGACTGTGCTCTTAACATTATTCTTCTTATATCGCTTAGCAATGCCAGGCTAACTTACAGCTTGCCCTGGTTCCGTCCAGTCCCTCACCAGGACCCTCCTTTTGGAGGTGTTAAGAAGTAAGAGCAACTGAGGTTTAAGTAAATATGATGAATGCCCAGGAGTAAATATTTTTTGGAGTCATTTAACTCCCATGTTAATTACAAAAGCATGCCTTCCTGTGTCTATACTAAAAGGACATTGGTAAACCATGCAAAGGACATAAAGGAAAGAGAAAAGCAATATAGGATTATTAGTGCCTGATGGAATTGGGTGTGCCTCAAGGAGTACTTTGGTGGGAGTAACTCAATAAACCTAAGCAAGCTCCCTACATGAGGAGCAAAGATAAATCAATGTTACCAAAAAAGTACTATAAATCTAGTACTCTCTATTATGCAACTATTATGCAGCCTACTCCTTACTGGAAATAAGAAATGGAGAGGGAGCACTCAGAAATGGGGCTTATTGGTCAGTATAGCTACTGACCACCTCACCTGCTGCAGTATGGTGGTAAATGAGATTGGGATTCTAGTCCTGGCTCTCCTACCTACTAGCTCTAACATTCGGAGCTGCTAGTCACTTGACTTACTATAGTTTCAGCTTCTCTATTTGGTAAATAAAGAGTTGCTATAATAAAGGTTACGTATTGGTTGAGTTCCTGCTAAGATGTCAAACGTGTTCTATAAGTCTCATTTAATAACTTTTAAAAATAATTTTCTATCTGTTAAACACTGTTTTAGATCTCTAAATATATTAATAAATAGAGTTGAATGTTTATCAATACCCTGTCACGTAAGCATCACTATTTATTTCTAGTTTATACATGATGAGGCACAGAAAGGTTATGAAGTGTGCTTGAGTCTTACAGCTAGTGAACAGCAAAACCAGAATACAAATCTAGGCAGTCAGATGACAGAGTCTACATTCACAGTGATCACTTCCAACCAGTAAAAAGAATATTTAAGCTTTTTCAAATTACCATTGTCCTATCTACATGTCTCAGGGCAGTGAGACACTTTTCCAGATGACATCTCGATTACATTGGACAATCAGTCACTCCATTATTCTGTTATCTAATTACAGGACAAGAAGTTGTCACTTCTTTCCTCTAATTTTTACCTCCCTAGGTAAGAGAAACTCAATCATTGTTTTATTTTAAGCCATTATGTAGAGAAGCAGCCTTTGCCTAGCATAAATGGGGCTAAGAGCTGAACAGAAATAAAGGCACACTTGTGAATATATTGAGTCCTAAGATGTCTTAATAATAAGACATACATATGGGATAGCAGAAGACAGAAAATTTCTATATTATAGTATACAGTTCCCTTCAATAGAAGTCAAATTCTCTATTCAATCAATGCAGAAATCTGCTCTAGTCAAAACATTTAGGATTGCAAGAAAACAGTTTCCTACTACTTTAAAACAAAAAAACAAACACTGTCCTCCTGTTGCTCATTGATTTGCTCAAGCGGGCCCAGTAACGTCTCCATTGTGAGACTTCTTGTTACTGTGTTTGGCATATTGAATACTCTCGGTAGCTTGCCAGGCTCTCCGAGAGGGGTGGAGGAATCGAACCCGGCTCAGCCGGGCTGGCTGTGTGCAAGGCAAATGCCCTACCACTGTGCTATCTGTGCTCCAGCCCTACTACTATAATCAGTAGATAAAAAGGAACAGTTCCTGCTTTCACTGGGACTAGAAAGTTAAAAAGACCTAAAGGTCCCCTGCCTTTTCTTTTCCGTCTCATGGCCCATGTAGCTTTTCCTCAATTATATTGGCCTATATGCACTTTATCAGTTCATTAATCCTTCTGCTAAATCACTTCTCCCCTATCATGCCTTTGCCTATTAGTTAAATTTACTATTTTTTTTTCTTGAAAAAAGAAAGTAGTAGAAGAAAGTGTTGGTTCTCAGGGCTTACTCCTGGCTCCATGCTCAGGGATCACTTTTTCAAGCTCCAGGGACCAGATGGGGTGTTGGGGATCAAACTCAGGTCGGTGAGTGCAGGCTAGTGCCCTACCCACTGTACTATCTCACGGAAGTCAGG